TAGTTGAGCTATTATCACTTTCTGGAGTAGTGTGGAGAGCGAACAGTTGCTTTCTTAGCATCGTGTTGGTCATTTTGATACCGTTTTTCCGAAATTTAGAATAAAACTGCTCACCTGACTTTGCCTTTTACGCGGCAATGCTTTTCAGTTCAAAAATTAATCAACCTGATCTTGGGAGTAACGTCATCAACAGAATATTCCTATTTGAGATTTTACATTTCGTAAAGGCAGTAGGCGAGAATCACATGAAAAAAGGGTGATTACCTATTTTCGTGGCCAGGTCAGATTACCTCCAACTAATAACCTCAAATTTAGGTTCCTTCTGAATTGATCGTAGCAAGCCTCTACCTCAGCTTAATCCTCACCCTAGGTTTTAGAATGAGCTATTGTGTAATTATAAGCTTAAGACTAGGCCTAACCTTCGGCTTAAATCATCTGCGGCTCTGGTGACCCGGCCAAAATGGGAGCTGAACGCCTCGCAGTTGAAAGAGGCGTGCTTTTTTTGAAAGTTGATGTGCATTGCGGTGGTCAGGAAAATATGTTTCCGGGTTCCTCCAAAAAGAGCTTCACGGAGTAGCGAGCAAAAGATGACCTATTCTAATATTCTATTCTATCATCTCAAAAAGATCGGAGTGGACCTCGAACACATTTTGCATTTCGGAAGTCAGTGCTAACACATTGCTATTTTCATGACTTTTTAAACATTTCCAGTGCAGATTTAGTCATTTTATTAGAATAGCGTTCCCCAAGGTAGTAGATTTGGTTTTTCTAGAAGATTCTCCAGCAGGATAGACTGTCTAAAATAAGATGAGACAACCTAGTCCACTGATCAATACAATGCAGTCAATACCATCTCTTGAGTTGTATAGCTGGGAGGTCGATGAGCGCAAGTAGGGTGGAAGGTCGACAGAAATTTGAAGAATCGTAGCGGATCTTTGTAAGTGATTTGTGCAGGATGAGTAGCGTCCAGAGAAGTTGAATGGTGTGACTTTTCTGCGATTTCGTTCCAACAAGGGGGTGTCTAAAAGGTGAGAAAAACCTTTAGACACTGCATTTTGCGGCCAGTAATGGACAGGGCCAGCAAAAAGGCACTACTTCTAGCAAATTGTGAGTGCACAAGAACTCGTATGGAGCTTTGTCGAAAAAAGATCCAGCACTGCTCACTGCTCTGTGAAAAAGGCCAGAAAGCGTAAATTGTCTGAGGGCATCCCGTTTCGAAAAAGAAAAAGATAAAGAGTTGAAGCTGAGGGAACATTCTATTTGAGGGAAATCACTATCAAACTGACCAGCACAATGCGAAGAAAGCGATAGTTCGCCCTTCATTTTATTCAAGGAAAGGATTATCACTCAGTTATGGTTGATATGTTCCAATGTAAAAGCTCCCCGCAGGTGATAATTTTAGCGATCCTGGTTCGGTAGTGAGTCGCCTTATGAAGTACGGCTTCAAAAAAAAAACTTTTCTGGCTTTCAAAACACAACGCCCTAGAAACCCTAGTCCACATCACAGATCATTTTAAAAACTCAACCTTCACCAAATAAAAAGTCGCCATGTTCGCCATGTTCGACCACCACACATCAAATAAAAAGTGTTGAGTGCTTGCTTTGTAACAATTACGCCGACAAAGGTGAAGATTGAAGGGCGCATGAAAAATTTCCATGTATCTAGAAATTATTTTTACTTACTTACTTACTTACATACTGTATGAGTTTTAGATGAATCAAATGAATCATTTCAGGTGGCTGACTCCGAAGATCATTGCTCGGTATCGGCGACGCCAGTTTCTCCCGGCGAAGAGCTCACGAACGGGAACGGTTCAAAGAGGTTGTCGAACTGTCCACCAGCGTTCAGTCTAATTGCGATCCCAAAGGTCGAGAATGAAGAGCAAAACAACGATGATGAGGGAGAGGTACATCATTCATTCCTGAATTTCTTGGGATTAGGGCCACCCAGCCGTTGATACAATTAAATAAATTCGAAGGCCCCACTCCTTATTTTCTTGGGGGGGGGGGTCTCGAAAGGACCTTGCACCACCACTACCGGTCTTGGTGGAGGGGAGGAGTGTCTGTTCAGAACAACCCTCCCCCTGCCCTTCCTGACTACCACCCTCACAACTATGGCTTCTTCATAGTATTTGATTCTGTAACCATTAGACAGGCTCTAACTCTACCCAATTTTTTTCTAGCGAATGGCCGCCGGGCGAGGAAGGAGGGGGAGGAGGGGGACCTAAAAATCGTCAGAAACTCGTCCAACACGATAGTCTTCCCGCCGCGACCCCACGATTCAATTGATTTGCACAGATACGCCCCGGACCTCGTTGAGATTTGCGCAACGCACGGTTTGACCCTGCTTGGGAGAGCTTCTGCGGAACTGTTTGTGAACAAACACAATCATCTAGTGTCCCTCTCAAGGAACTTTTAATCCTGTCAGTTGCCTATTGATGCCAATATATTAGCGCTAGTTTCAAGAATGCATAAGATGGGAACAAGAACTCGGGCTTTCAGTGTTCTCATTTTTTTTTACTTAGATCGACTTCATTTTACGTATTTTTACTCCTGTCGCGAGGAATGCGGTGGTTTCGTGGATTGTAAGTACCGAATGAGTTTTGTGATTTCCAAATGTTCCATATCGGGAAGGAAGTGCGATCGTTTCCTTTTTCTGCCACTACTTTCGATTTTGACCTTCGCGATTCTCAGACAGTTGGCTCTTACAGTAGTGCACGCCAGGATGATGAGGATAAGCGACTGATAAGCTCCTTTTCTGGTCATTTCCTCAATATATCACTTCGCCTGATTGTGAATTTTCTAAGCGAGCTTCTAGCAAGATTAGTCGCCGCGGAAGCTTTCCTCAACATAACCAAACTCTTTCCCTTAAGCGTAGATCATACGAAATGAGAGTGTTCTTTGTATTTCCGATCTTGGGCCGTTTTGTAAACTATGGTTTTCGAGCGACGGTAATGCTCGAACGAGGAGGTCATGCCTGGAAATGAATAATCGTTTTCCTTTAGGATGCGGGTGACCTGAACATTGGCTCTTTTGCACAAGGCTCTACAGCGCTGGACCTCGTCAGCGGACTATTCGCCACGGTTGGTTTCGCTCCTTTGATGAATCGCTCCGAGAATTTGCGATTATACCTTGTCAACGAACCCAAAAATGGCAACACCGAGAGGTTACACTATCCGAAAACGGGATCAAATCACATTTCATCCTTAGCGTGGAACCCTTCGAGCGGAACAATGTTCTACTTCGATTGAGGTGTTTTTTGAAGTATGCCGGTCACTACTACATCGTTGAGTGCAGTCAACAGTAACTGATCGGATTCCTTCCCATATCCTTCCCTCCACTGCTTCCAGCTGCCACTGCAGCACCATGTGGAATGAACGGAAGTGTGCTAAGCAGGTGTTTATATAGCCGTTGGAGTGTTATCACAATCATGCCATTGCAAAACATTGATAGCTCAATCCTGCGAGCTACCCAGATTTGTTAGCGGCTTGTTTATTCCATGAGCTGCCACAGCTCACAAGTGATGAGGTAAAATTATCCTTTGTCCTCATTTCTGTTCATTGTGAAGGTGTAGGAACTTGGTAGCAGTTGGGAAATTTTCGATATCGCTTGCAGTGTTCATTATTCTCAGTGGTTCTGTTAGCGGGAGTGTTTGTAATGACAATAATAATTTGTCTCGGAATTGTTGTTTCTAATGCATAGAAAATTATCTTTATAGTTACAGCACAAAATGCCAGGCGTTGGTTCCGAATGGAATTCGACGCCAGAGCTAAAAACACGTCAGTTCGTCTCCAACCACACGCGAATCGCTCCCTACAAACAACTGGTGGGTATATTCGTGGTTTTTCGGTTACGTTTACCTGATGCGCTTTGATCTCCCGATAGAACGTCGACCATTAGTTTCAGGAGGGCTTCCAGACGAGAATGAAAGGATGGCAAAGAGAATACATCAAAGATGTCATCAAGGAAGGGCACTATCCAACCGAAGATGAGCTCCGAGACATCGAAGTGAAATGTGATCTCAGTCGAAAGCAGGTAGAAGATTTGGAATTTCTTGGATATTGGCTCGACTCATTTCGAGTGCTTTCCACTGCTGAATACTAGTTAGACCTGCACCTTTTGCAATCTGATCACCTCGAAACGATACAAGGAAGCGTTTAACCCTAGAGTACTTTTAAAATGAGTGCACTATGTATCTTGCGCAACATTCTTTACCTACAGAAGTAATTAATGAACCCTAAAGATGTGGTCGTCTTAGGTAATGTCTAGGCAATTTTGAATAGGGATTTGTTTCCCGGACCATGCGCTGTAGCGGCCCTCTTGCCTAATACACCACCTCTGTTCAAGAGAAAACTTGAGCTGGGAAACGAAGATTTCATGACCAATGGTACATTGGTACAGTAATCGGTCTGGATCAAATAAGAGTTCGAGAACTACGATGAATGAATGTATGCGGTGAAGCCTTCTGCAAAGGTGTCTGGGGAGCCGCTAATTTGCACATGACAATTATCATAGGCTCCTTCTGAATGGAAAGCTGTGTTGTCGTCAAAATCTTCCATTATCGCTTTCGCTTTATCCCTAACATTAGATTATTGGTATTTGGGCTCGGTAAAATGTCTTCAATCTCCAGAGCTTCGTATTGTTCGCCTTCAGCCAACATCCTCAAAAAATCCCTTTCCCAATTTTTTGATTGCTTATTCAGTGCTTTTATAATAAATCAAGCAGATCCTCCACCCTACGAAAATACTAAGAAGAATTTGGAGCGAAAGTCCTGAAAATATCATTTTGTCAATGCTTCGAACGCTGTTCAGCAGCCTGCGCTAGGAATTGCTCCGATAACTCATACAGAAGAAACTCGCACATACCGTGTGAAGGATTGCCATTTTAGAAAAGAGTATAGAAGTTAGCTATGTGCTCAATTTGTTCTCAGTAAAAAGGTCTGGCTCAAAAAAGCCTGTCAAATGGTGGTAGTAACTTGATTATGAGGCAGAAGTGGTGTAGTGGCAAGTGGCGGTGCTTACCTCGCGAGTGGCTCGCGAACCGATCCTGGGTCAGCGTCGTCCGGACCAATTAAGCTTTATTTATTGGTACCAGACTTGTCTGGGAGGATAAAAACACTGACTTGTACATCGGCTGGCCCCCGCAAGTCATTGTATAGGCCACATCGCATTCAAACGCCACTGCGAATGTACAAATGGAAGTAGAATGCGTGCCGCATCCCAAAAAGGGATTGATCAACGGCAAATGCTTTATCCTTTATCCATAGCTATGGAAGTGGTGCACATGTGGTAGTGAAAGGGTCGATATAGAAATGTGAGATCTCGTTCAGGTTTAATTTTTACGAAAAAAAGTCAAAAGTTTTGGAGGACAACTAGGCGATTGTCTTCCAAGCAACAGCGGGTTATTTATTCAAATTTCTGCAAACAAACGCTTCTGATTTATTTTTCACCCTAAAATATTATAGATAAGAGCACCCAATCTATAGGAATTGTTTGTGCTACTGTTTAGTGTTTCTCACTCCTCAATCAAGTTGGAGTACGACAGACGCTTCCGGAAGAACAAAGTCAAAAACGAAGTTAAAAATTTGGGGAAGGATTTCATTACCGAAAAATGCACGTGTTTGTCCTCATTTTTCTGATGGACACTTGCGTTCTTCAGACTTTTTTTTTTCAAAAGCCTTACCACTTTTATTCAAAGGAATTGGAGACATTCGATTTCTTCATTATAGTACATTTTACGTTTTTTTAATCACTTGCTTGCGTTTTGCTAGTGACGCTAGCTATTCCAACAAGTGTGATAGACGCACATTACACTGTGGATATTCGATTACAAAATGTGGGAGAGATTAGTGCTTAGCAGCCATTCAATATTGTGTCTTGCACTGCTGCACTATTACGTTTCATACGAACTTCAGTATGGCCTTCATATGACAACGGCTCGCTTCCTCTTGACCCATGCCCCACCAAACACCGTGACCGCAGCCCTCGGTAGCTTTTCCGGGCACCCTGACAGGTTGCTACACCTAAAGGCCCCCCCCCCCCCCCCCCACCCCCTTACGACTGTATGTGTGGTAGGGATCGTTTTGCCAACCGTGCCGGAAAATAACATTTTATGTAGGAAGGTTATGAATTGTTGCTTCCCTTCACCAGAAGGTGGTCGATAAAGTTGCTCTAGACGTCTTTGAAGTCTTAGGTGACGTAAGATTGCTTGGTCGTCTCCCTCGCTACTGAAATCACGACATGATTTAATCGCCAAAGGAGATGTTTCAAGGGCACTTTCAGTTTTAACACTCATTTAGTTTTCTATGTGATTTTTGTTAGTCTGCCACATTTGGTACATGCTACTTGTTTATGGGAGATGACTTTATTAATGATTTATTTTGTTTATCTTGATATTTGTCGATAACAATTGATAATTGGTGATCTTTGTCAATTTTTATTGTTTAGCTGTGTTCGCTTCTGGAAAAATAGTTGTTGCAAATGTTGTCATTTTTTAGAACTTTGAGTCATTCATTTCTGCTAACCAAGCCTCATTATTCAGTCTGCGATTCATTGCGAAACGTGTCGGCAATCCGAACCGTAAGTCCCGAGATGGCCGACTGCCACCAGCCACTCCTGAGGAAATCCAGCAGACGCTGGAGAAGTTTAACGGCTCTTCATCGTAATCTGCGGCCGTTATTAGCATCTTCTTACTGAACAATTCTACCTTTACGCGATTACGGTAATCAATCGCGCTGATTGTCCACGATGGCTATCAGAACCGCGTAAACTCGGCTTTATCTCGACGACGACGACATTCGTCCGCTACCGCTCTGCATTTTATTTGTGTTGACATCATCCAGCCGCGATGACGAGTGGTCTCAGCTACCAATTAGGCAATGATTAACGGACGACGTATTCGTGTCGTAGTTTCTAGCATATATTCTTGCGTTTTTATTCTAATTTTCATGTATGTATTTGTTACACATTGGGCCTGAAGACATAATATCGCACGTGATTTCTTATTTATCGCCTTACTTCTTCCCTCGTAAGCTGAAGCCGTCTTCCCTGCTGCTTTTTTGTTGGTATGTTGTTTTCTCAAAGGAGCTTCGTGCGCAACGTACATGTTTTGTTATTTTGTTGTTACTACGTCAATGTACATTACCGAATTACGCATATAGAATACGATGAAGGAATTGTAATAATAAAATTATTGCCGCCTATGCAGCAGTACTTGGGAGTGATGGCGCGAAACCCGGGTACCCCCAGGAGGCCCGTCGCGCGTCGAAGTCAGAGCGCAGGCGCGACAGTGGACGAGTCGCACTGCATAT